ATTGGGCAGAGATGATGGAACTGGAGCCCAAGAGGGTTGCCATATGTCCGGAATTTCCCAGACATGTCCAGGATTTCCACAGCGAAATTAGCATCCCGGGAGGAATTTCGAAAAATCATTAAAGTGTCCGGGTTTTTGCCAACAGAACAAGTAAGCATCTGTTTGACCAAACAACTTTTTGGGTGATTCCCCCGCCCCCTAAAAAATAACTTTTGTGTATGGACCTTTTACTTCTTGAAATATGGCAGCCCTAGAGTCCAACAACATCTGAAGATCCGCAGCTTGAACGCAAAAATATCCTGTGTTGTTTAACGCCTACATGAAATCACTGAGTGGGGTCATCCGGAGTTTTGCAGTACGTTGTCTGCAATATGTTGATGGCACACAGCTCTGCTTCTTCTTTGCACTTGGAGGTGTGGCATTCGATTTCCTGGGCCGCCATCTTGCCTTGGTAATGGGCAACTTTGTACTGGGCTCAAGATGTAGCAACTTTATTTTAGCTGCTTTGTGTTTATTCATAAATAAAAGAGGGGTAGAGATTTCTAAAATCAAGCAGTCGATAAGCATTATTATTTTATTTTTCCAAAAAAAATAACAGGAGAAAAATCACCAACATTCCTTGAACGCCATACATCATGCTGATAAAATTCCTTTCCTGCACTCCCACACAATGCCAAGGTGAGGATCTATATGGATGTATGACCTGCAAGCCAACTATTTGTAATTCATCTTTTCCATTGGTATGGTGGGTTGAAACTCCAGTGCAGAAGTTCCACTGCAAATGAAATAAAGCTTTGACAGCAATCTAAATGTGCCGGGATCAAGCCCTTACGCAGAAGCAGCAAAAGTGAATGATTCGGTGAAGCTTGTCACTTTCTCAAAATGCTTGGTGTCACCGAAACATTGATCCCTTCTGGGCGAAATAAGTCACCTGCATAAAAAGTTAAAGCTCTTTTATAGAGCTGGCATTTGCCTAACACTATTACTTGTTCTTAAGCATCTCCCATGCATCACAGCCTGTGATGAACCAGGATGAACCCAGGCTGTGATGCATGGGAGATGCTTAAGAACAAGTACCGTATTTTTTCGCTCTATAACACGCACCCGACCATAACATGCGCATAGTTTTTAGAGGAGGAAAACAAGAAAAAAAATATTATAACGAAACAGTGGATGTATGATTTTTGTGGTTCATGCGGTGGCCACAGACATGTGATCTGACGGTGAGTTTGGGGTAGCCCAATGCAAAAATCCTGAGGATCCACGTGGATCCGTGCTTTGTAACCACGTTTTAGGTGGGGAGGGAAGGAAAAGCGCTCAAGGGACAAGGAGCACGCGAGGGGTGTGTGGAGAAGGATGCTGCTAATAATGCAGAAGAGGGGTATAAGCGGAGAAGGCTCCTCTCCTCTCCCTCTTTGCTCCTTTAAAGCAAGCAGGCTCCCTGTCCCTCTCTCCTCCCCACTCAGCGGCTCTTCTCCTGCTTTGCTGTTTCAAAGCGAGCCACAGAGGAGGGAAGAGGAACCATGGATCCTCTGCTCACGACTGCAGCAGATCCCCCCGCCATCCGTAGGCATTCGCTCCATAACACGCACAGACATTTCCCCTTACTTTCTAGGAGGAAAAAAAGTGAGTGTTATGGTGCAAAAAATACGGTAATTGTGTAGCAGACAGTGTCCTTTTGAGCGGGGCGGGGTGGGACAGAAATGGCAACCAGAAAGGAAAGCATGATGCAATAGGGGCAAATGTCAGGTTCTGCACTTAGAACCAGCTGCCCAAATATAAGATTGGGGGGTGGGGAGGACACCTGGATTCCCAGTAGTACATGTGAAAAGGATCTAAGGATCTTAGTAGACCACAAGCTAAACACGAGTCAACAGTGTAATGCTTTGTCCCAGGGACTTATGGGAATTTGCAGCCCAGCAACTTCTGGGGGGCAAGAGGTAACCTCATCTTTGAATTGCAAGATGGCAGCACCACCCAGCAAGTCTAATTATGGTTTTCTGCTGTAGAATATAAATGACCAGGTGTCAGGGAACTCTGGAAGGTACCCACTTGGGGAAATCCGCTTTACAAACTATACCACACTTGCCTTCTCCTTGGGATGTATCTAGAAACGCATTCTGTGCCAAGGCTTCTAGAATTGCTCCATGCCAGTGTGTTTATTCCTGCATGTATCACGTAAGAAATAACTTCCCACCCAGTTGAAACATACCTCCCAAAGTTAGGGAACATCTCTGGGCCTTCTCTTTAAACCCTGGCCCATGTTCCAGCGCACTATGCAAGTCCTACATGACATAAACCTTTGTTGCATTTTCAAATGTTCAAAGGAACATTATTATCCTGTATCTACAGGGGCTCCACCAGCAGAATGGGGTAATTGCAACCAACTCTGTTGCTGTCTTCATATCACTGTTGGGTAGTTTTCATATTATTGCACCCACATAAAAGATAGGGGTGGTTAGAATGAGCAAGGGAGGGGGGATTCATCTGAGTGTATAAATTCTGCTTTGATGATTTTGGTTTTCTTTCTCGTCTCTCTCTCCAGCCCTCCACGAACTCCGATGAAAGTTGTGCCTCAAATTAGAATAGAGCTTGATCCTGAAGACAGTTATTTCTGGAGGAGCAAGGGAACAGAAACTACGTTGTAATGTGTTCGTTAATCTTCAGCTGAAACCGGCTTTTTACCTTTTCTTCATCCTTCTCCTTTACTACTAGCCAAATACCCAAAATGCTCTCTGCCTAGGTAAAACCAAGGCAGATTCTTCTCTTGAAAGCATTTAAGTTTTCCCCCCCTCCTTACCTCTGTTTATTTCCCCCCACTCGCTCCTTGCTTTCATTCTGACCAAGACACTTTTCTTTCTTGGTTTTGCCTTTTCAGTCACACACAATACGTCGTACGCCCTCCTCTTGAGCTTTTCAGCAGAGGGGTGGAAGTATTAAGGATATATTATCACAGCTTTGTGAAACGTCAGCAGAACTGACTGGGGTTTTTTTTTAGTTGTGAATCAGTGTTTTTTTTTCTGTTTTGGCCCCCGCCCCATGTCTTTCCCCTCTTTATCAGAACAAAACTGACCTCTGGTCTAATTCACCACCCTTTCTCATTAGTCCTCTGCTCCGGTAAAATGCTGCTAACCGTAACATGTTCTTAACATCACCCGTGCTTCAAGAGTCTCAAGCAAAGGAATCAAAAATGGTACATCCCTTTCCCCCATCACTGTTGTGAGTGTGTGGACCCCCTACCCTTTGCAACTTCTATTCTGTCCCAATTTAATGGATTCTTAACCTGTCGGCTGCATTGACAAGTGTTATTTTCTTTTCTTTCTCCCCCCCCTTCATGTTTTTGTTTTAAATTATGGGGGCCTAACCTGCGACTTATATTTTTTTTGTCAATTTTTTAACTGTTTTTTTTTTAAAGAATTACTGTAAAAAAATGAATTTTTTTCCTGCAGCAGGAAACATAATAGTTTTGAGTAGTTCTACCTCTTATTTCTAGATGTTGGACTTTCTCTTTAAAAAAAGGAAAAGAAGATTAATAATAATAATAATTGTATAGTATGTTATATAATGTGATTTTTACAAAAAGAAGAAAAAACAGAAAAAAACAGAAACAAAACCACAATCTCAAGGGTATATAATATTAATACCTTTCATTGGAACCTTTCTTTCTTTCTTTCTTTCCTTCCTTCCTTAACAACCTGATCACCCAGCGGTTGAGCCTGGACATGAAGCTGAGCTATGGCTAAGCAAATTAGCAAATTAGTTTGTGCATGAAGCTCAAGCTCTCCTGTTTTCTTCCTCCCTCCCTCTCGCCACAGAATAGCTGGCTTTGTGTTACACCCAAATCAGGACTTGCGGTTTGTTTCCTCTCCAAACCGAACACAATCTAAAAGCCAAGGTTTGTTGTTGTTTTTCCAGTTTGGGAGGACCACAGACCACAAGTGCTGATTTAGATTATAATACCAAGCTAGCTGCTCCATGTTTTGTTCTCTTGCTGGATGAAGGGAGAAACCCATATGCAAGAGGCTAATTTGCTTAACCATAGTTAGTAGCTTAGTGTTAACACCGAGTTGCAGCCAATGAAGGAATCGGGGCCCAAGTTTAAACATCATGTGATTTTTTTGGGTGGTTCTGTTGAACGCAACCAGCACAGTCGGCCCACTCTGCTGCCACACTGGCGCCATTCATCTCATGGAGACCTCTGCGCAAACGCCGTCAGCGTGAACGAGGAGTGCGCAGCGGAAACAATTTGCAAACTCCCTTCCAACGGGGAATGAGTAAGGTCAAATGAGCAGATGCAGACTATAGTCATGTGTTGAGTCCCTGTCCAGAATTGTTAGTGTTATTTCATTTATACACACTTGTTGGCACGTACGTGTGTGTGTGTGTGTGTGTCCACACAGGCAGTGCTTTTTTCCTTTAAAAAAATATTTAGGGGTACTCTCGTTTTGACTCGAGAAAATCACCATTTTATAGTTCAAACCGGGGGAAATAAATGCAGTAAGTGGACAAAAGTACAAAGATTCACAAAATGTTTAGGGGTGTGCGTACCCCTGCATATCCCCAGAAAAAAAGCACTGCACACAGGTGTAAAAAAAAAGTGGTTTGGAACTGATGAGTGGGGAGTCGCTTCTAATGCCTTAATTACCAGCCTCATTCCTGCCTACCCAAACGTTATGAAGAGTAGATTTAAAGTCCTCCAGGCAAGGGTGATATCAAGGCTTAGAACCACACTAAGCTACTTTTCACCCCATGTCAATCTATATAGAGTAAAATCTCATTATGTGTCTTTTTTGGGGGGACTATGCTACTTCATACTGCATGTGTGGGGAACGACTTGTTTGTAGTTCCCCCGCAAAAACCTCACTGCACAGAGAGCACGTTCTGGAGAATAGTTTTAGGCTACCCTTCTCGCTGATGTGCTAGGGCAGCGGTTCTCAACCTGTGCGTCCACAGATATTGTTGGACTACAACTCGCATCATCCCTGACCACTGGTCATGCTGGGTAGGAATGATGGGAGTTGTAGTCCAACAACATCTGGGGACACACAGGTTGAGAAACACTGTGCTAGGGTTTTTTTTATTATAAATTGTTCAGAGAATATTTCCTTCGAGAGAAAATCTGAAACATGATCTCCACCACCTGTAGCCTGGGAAAAGGTGCCCCACGCGATTCTGCTGTGCATATAGATTGGCTCCAAATCCAACTAGGTCCAGGTGCGCAGCGGATGAGATGTAGAGGTATAAAAATAGGATGGGCATTATATGCAGTGGCTGTTAAAAGCCATAATTAGAAACTGGCTGTAGCCACTCCAGTGACTCTCAGAATGTTCTTTAGCCAGGCTACTCTTTCAAGGGAGGGCTAAGGACACTGGGCATCATCCAGGAAATCCCTGAGCAGCAGCTTGGGTGCGCACCCAGGACATCTCCCTTTTTTCTCAAACAGCAGCTCCTTGCACTGCATTTTGGTTGAGACTTTAAGGCTCCCCAGAGTTTTGTAGGCAGTTTGGGAGCATGCGAGAGCTGGCATCCCCATCGCCCATAGATTTCTGACCACACCGCCCTTCTGGGTTAGGACCAGTGTGCTGTGTATGGGTCTGTATCTACTGGCACTCTCAGACAAGAGTAGTTTTGCTCCAGCAGCCAAGTACCTCACTTCTGTGCTTGTCCAAACCACCACTTCGTTGGAGACTCCTGTTGTCATAGGTATTGGATTCTCCACTGATTTGGCAGTGCAGAGTGTGGAAGCGAGCTTCTTTTCTGCAGGAGTAAAATCCTGATCGCGGGAGAGGACCCATTCGACCTCCCTGGTTTTAGCTGGGAGTGATTCTATATGTGCATCAAGGTGCAAAGCACAAAAGGGAGCCAAGAACCTTGAAACCAACAGTGACGTTTTTGAGATGTTATGTGACACACACACACACATGCCCATTTCCCCATTGGTATGTTCCTAGTGGTCATTGTCTCCTGGCAAGGGTCTTCCACTCCTCAACTTGTACTTGAATTTACTGTGGTAACTTCTGACTATAGAAAATGGCATTGGAATTGAGGGGGAGACAATTCTGTTTTCAGTTGCTTGTACCACTTAAATTTGGGGGGGGGGCAGAGGAGGAGGAGGAGGAAGGAACAAGGGTTGGAGATATTGCATTTCATGCACTCCTGGCCTTCATCGTGCCTGGCTGCACCATTTATTTATTTATTTATTTTGCAGTTTCCAGCCCTAAGGGTCTATTTACACTACAGCTGCAAATCGTTCTTTTTGCCAGTCTAACTGGCATGGCTTCCCTCTGAAAACGAGCGCTGGGAATTGTTGTTTGGTGAGGGTGCAGCGAAGTCTCCATTCGGGGTTTCCGTTCCACATGGCCTCTCACCACAGAAATCCCCTTAGATGAAGGAATGGCTGTAAAACCAGACTGTGTAGTGTAAAGTTACCCTCTAAATATTTCAGCTACAGGAAATGAGCACTTTTTGTGTAGCATTTGGTTTCTGTGCAGGAGCGTTTTGGTTCCTGCGTGTTGTGAGAGTAAGGCCTGGCTCACACATAATACTAAGCCATGGTTTTGTTAAGCTGCTGTTTGCTCAACCAACGATAGGTTAACCTCGACTTTCACAGATGATCAGACAGACCATGGCTTGTTCCTCCAAAGCTACTTTACAGTTGCTCTTGCCTCATGTCTGTGTTATTTGTTGAACATCTAAGTTGGAGCACCAAAACAAACCATGGTTCAGGAAAGGTGCTGGCTTCACATATAACACCAAGCCATGCCAAGGTTTATAAACCAGGAACAAGCCATGGCTTCAAGGTGTGGTTTTGGGCAGAAAGCTGGTCACAGTGAAGCTGCTGGACAGGGTTCACACATGACGCTAAACCATGGTTTGCTAAACCATGGCTCATCGTTACGTGCCAGCCAGACCCAGTTGTCTCACTGGTTGTCAAAGTTACAGCTCCCTTCTGTTTAAGACCATGGGAGCTATTGGGAACCTGGAAGAACAAAGTTTCACATATAAATGGGATACAGAAGAATAGAGAGACGGCTATAGCAACACATTCTTGTGTGTGGTGCCAGAGAGCTCCGAGGTTACTGCACCATAAATCTCATCCCATCACCGGACTGATATCAGTTGAGAGAAGGAATAGAGAGTGACTGAGTGAAGCATACTTTCAGGATGCACAAAACCCTTCTGATTCTACCAGAAGTAAACTGTTCTGCAGCTTGGAAGCTTGCTATTCTCTCCTATAGTACTGTACACAATTCAGGCTGCTGTTTTACGGACACTTCAGAAGGAGTAAGCCCCATTGAACGCAGCGAAACTTATTATAGGATTGTGCTGGTGGTCAAGTAAAAGGTAAATGTTCAGAATAGCTTTGAAACCTGTAGATCTTTGGAGCGCAGTCCACAGAAGTTATATTACTTTTGCCACCAACTTGAGTGTGGAACCCCTAGAGATTTAGTGTCATTCTTTCAGACTTTGACATCACATTTCTACATCTTGGTTATAACGTTGTGGCTACAAACCTTTTATTTATCCCCACACTTCACTTCAAACTCCACAGAAGGGCTAATTGTGGAGCCTTTTGGACAGTCGTACTAAATTAAATTGTAGAAGGAACCAGCCCTACTCTTTCTTCAACTGCTGCTCTGGGGGTACACACTGGACCCAGTGACTGATAAGGTTCCCATCCCAGGCACTAAGTCCATGCGTGCATTGCATGAAGCATCTAAGGAAACATGGGAGCCAGGATGGAGGCCCTGTCACCCTCAAAAGGTGGAGTACATCCTGTCACAGTCCAAATGGTCACTCCTACTCTGAAACCGAACTTTTTTGATCACTCATTGCTGTTGCGCAAAGGTACGCGGCTTTCACCACAGAGGTAGAAGGGATAGAGGAGTGTCATTCTGTGCACATTAAGACTCCTGGCCCAGTGGCAGTGGCTTGTAGTTTAAAATGGGGCGCTCAGGCTATGAATGTGTGGTTCAAGTCTTTTTCTAGATCTTTAAGAGCCACCAGGAGCGGCAAGAGCCGAGAAGGCAAAAGGGAAGGAGGAAAGGTGGCTTTGATCGGGCCAGTCAGAGAGGCATGATTGGCCTCACTGAGGACTACAGCCTTAGGAAGGCGTGCTGCTTAGACCAACTTCACAGCCAAACTCTGCAAAGAGATTTTTTCTTTTTTGCTCAGGGCTAATGTTGAGTGAAACTTTTAAAGAGCCAGAGATAACTTTGTCCCAGACCTAGAATGTGAACGTACTGACCACTCATGTCTGTCTGTCTGTCCTTTTCTGTCTCATTTCTGCGGTTCCTCCCCGATACAATACATGCATTCACATTATTTCTCGGAAACAAGATGCACTTTCAGATACTTTTTTTGTTGTTATTTGTTGTTGTTATTATTATTTGTTCGTTGTAAAACTCTTATTATAAAAAGTCTGTACTTGCTTTGGAGGAATGACTTATTAAAACGAAAACACAGCCACTTTATTTTGAAATGAAGTAGATCAACACAGTGGAACAAACAGGAATTTTTCAAGAGAGAGAGAAGAAAACATTTCAAATTGTTGAATGATTCCCCCCCTCCCCCCGGAATATGAAAAGTAAAACCATGAGATTCCTTATTATAAAATTATAGGATTTTACAGTTTTATGAGGCTTTCTATTGTGACTTTTATGGAATCAAGAAATGAAGAAGATGAGATATTTTAGCATTTATATTTTTCAAAATTAAATGTATACTGAAAATAAAGTAACTTTATGCATTTATCTGTGTCGTCCCAACTTTTTTTGTTTGCTTGCATGCCTTCTAACATAACTCATGGATTGGTTTTTGCCCTGTCTGTAACCTGTTGTGCAAAGTTGTCTTCTGTATGGGCAAAAACCAGGAATCGAAAAGATCAGATGATCTCCAACTAAGTCAATCAGAGTAGACCTGCTGATATCACTGAATGCCACTCGCCAAACCCAAGGATTCCCTGTGCTCCCTGCAAGACTCTGCTGCTTCATTTCACATTTGAGAGAAGTTCCTAGCATTCACGGTTGGGGGAATGTTTTCTGGCAGTGCCTGGCTGCTAGGTTTACACTCGCAGCAGTGGAGGAGAACAAGAAACCCACAGCAGAATCCAATAAACCACCAGGCATTGCTGGAGGAAAGGTGAATGGGTGAGCTAGCGAGCAGTAGCGGCACTGAAAGGGGCTATAGCCACTGCCATACAGCTGCTGCAAGCACTCTGAAGCTTCTCATCCACAGCCTCCTGTGAGAACCAGTGAAGGCTGGCCATTACTTCCAGCCAGTGCAGTGGGCGGCAGTATTCTCCCCCTCCGTCTTGGCGTTACCCGTAGAGACTCAGAAGAAAGGAGGATGGGGACAAGACTAGAATTAGTTGGCTCTGGCTTCACCAGTTGTTGACCTCCTTGACTTTTGCCGCAACCTGATAGGTACAAGACACCGCTGGTTAGAATTGGGGCAATCTTAATGCCCTGGAAGGGACATGGGTGGTGCTGTGGGTTAAACCACAGAGCCTAGGACTTGCCGATCAGAAGGTCAGCTGTTCGAATCCCCGTGACGGGGTGAGCTCCCGTTGCTTGGTCCCTGCTTCTGCCAACCTAGCAGTTCAAAAGCACATCAAAGTGCAAGTAGATAAATAGGTACCGCTCCGGTGAGAAGGTAAATGGTGTTTCTGTGCGCTGCTCTGGTTCTCCAGAAGCAGCTTAGTCATGCTGGCCACATGACCCGGAAGCTGTACACGAGCTCCCTCGGCCAATAAAGCGAGATGAGCGCCGCAGCCCCAGAGTCTGTCATGACTGGACCTAATGGTCAGGGGTCCTTTTACCTTTACCTTTAATGCCCTGGAAAGTTTTGCATGCACCCCAAAATAGAGGGAGATGTTAGCCCATGTTGCCTTATTTCGTCGGGATTCCTTGTGTGAATTAAGCAAATTCATCCCACGAGTGGCCAGCGCACCTCTCTTTGTCTTCTTGCAGACGGACAGCTTCAACCTCCCCTTGGGTTTTGCCGCCTTTGCCTTGTAGATTCTCCTCAGTCGAAACAGTTCTACTTGTCAAAAATCCCTCCATTTCCATTGCCCGGATTGGGCCGAGCCTTGCAGCTGAGGCCCTACCAGTGCTGAGTAGAGAGGAATGATTACTACTTGGGATAATATTCGTTGTTTTTGGAAGCCTCTGCCAGAAAACATGTTATGATCACAGCAGGTGTTGGAACTGAACCCTAGTTCCTCCCTTGGTCAGTGTTGCTGGCTACTTGCCCACCCAAATGGGGGCCCGGCAGACCTCTGAGCCTTCCCTGGAGTTGACAGCTGTGCTGTTGTTCTGGATGTATAAATCAGAGCCAAAGACTTGGCTTTTGATATTCATTAAAACAGTACGGCAAGCAACGCGAGGTGTCTTTTTTGTAGCAGCTTCTTGTTAGAAACATGCAGGTGCTCAATGTTTAAAATCTGGCGAGACAACACTGTGGTGTCACACCCAACAGGAGGAGAGAGAGGCTTTTGCTGGCTTGCTTGCTGTTTTTCTGAATTGGGAAACATCCACTGGTTTGGGGGTACACTGAGCTCCTAAAAATTAGGGATGGCTAAGCAGTAGACTAACGGGTGGCGCTGTGGGTTAAACCACAGAGCCTAGGACTTGCTGATTAGAAGGTCAGCGGTTCGAATCCCCGCGACGGGGTGAGCTCCTGTTGCTCGGTCCCTGTTCCTGCCAACCTAGCAGTTCGAAAGCATGTCAAAGTGCAAGTAGATAAATAGGTACCACTCCGGTGGGAAGGTAAATGGTGTTTCCATGTGCTGCTCTGGTTTGCCAGAAGCGGCTTAGTCATGCTGGCCACATGACCCGGAACCTGTAAGCCAGCTCCCTCAGCCAATAAAGCGAGATGAGCACCACAACCCCAGAGTCAGTCACGACTGGACCTAATGGTCAGGGGTCCCTTTACCTTTTAAGTAGTAGACTGCTTGCCCTGGAAATGAATCGGATCCTTCGTCCCTGAGGAAGCTGATCAAGCATTGACACTTTTGAGGAGGGGGGATGTGGATGTGCTGCTCAAAGAGACCCAGACCAACCAATTCTAATTTCTGAATGGAAGGGGAGAACCCTTACTTTTTTGGGGGGTGGCATAACATGGTAGCAGGAAGTGGCCCCACCTATGGATCTTTTTAGATGTGAGAGAATCCTCTAGGCATCTCCTTTGCTTAGTCTCATGAAGGAGATCTTTGAAGCACATCCCTGGATTGGGGGATGCACATATTATGAAATTACAGCCACTGGGGCAAGTACAGGCTAGACATTTCGCACTACAGTATAGTTTAAGCCAGTGCTTTTTTTCTTTAAAAAATGTTTGGGGTACTCTCATTTTGACTCAATGAAATCACCATTTTATAGTTTAAATCGGGGGAAATAAATACAGTAGATGGACAAAAGTACAAAGAACATGCATTAGCTCACATTACACAGCTGACAGCTCACAGTAACTTCCACACTGGCGTGAGATTGTGTGCACTAACATCTTCCCAATTCCACACATCCATATTCTACACTGCTTCACACATTAAATGCCCGCTTCCATCTGAGTCTTGGGAAACACCGGGAAAGGAAAGGAAACTGCCATCGGGGGTAGCAACGGAACTGACGATTCACCATGCTAGAGAAGAAACTTAAAAATTTTTTTTTTTTAAAGTTTCTTCTCCCGTTAGATTCACAAAATGTTTAGGGGTAAGCGTACCCCTGCATCCTCCCAGAAAAAAAGCACTGGTTTAAGCAGAATAAATTAACAATTTGAAAGTAATAGTTGTATTATTAGCTGTCACACATTGCCCATCTTGAAGTATGCCCGACGTATAAAACTCAGTGTTTATTCAGCTTTAATAAGCAATGAGGATGTTAGTTGTAGCCAAATAGATTTTTCCCTTTCACCCCTCCCCATTTCCAGCTGGCATGGAATGAGCTTGGCGATTCTCCTAGCATTTACCTGCAATAACCATTTCCACTCGGAGGCCCCTGCATTCGCAGCTGACCTTAGCATTAAATGAATCCAGCTCAGAAAGACAAAAGGTGCCCTTTTTTGCTTTTGCAAAAGAGCTGCGGGAAACAACAGGTTCCCTTTGGTTGCCAGGATACTTACTAGGCTACACAATAATTCTTTTGTCAGTTGCCCAAGACAATCTGAATGCGAAGAAGTCATGCTCGTGAACTTTTTTTGGGGGGGGAGGGGAAATGTCACCCATATGCCCATAGGTCAAGAGGGCTGTTTTTGGGGAAATTAATGGAGTTATTCTATCCAGTTGCTCGCTGCTCAGTTTCATTTATAAACAATGTGAGAGACATCAGCAAGTAATAAACAGTTCACACTTATCAATTACAAGAAAGGATTACTCATCTATAAGCGATAAAAATAGCAGCAAATCACAATACATAAAATACCACAAATCATACAAAATGATGTAAAAGGATAAAATTAAGAAACAAGGACACACAACTTTATATAGATGATAGATATAGATATAGATATAGATATAGATATAGATATAGATATAGATATAGATATAGATATAAAGGTAATGGGACCCCTGACCATTAGGTCCAGTCGTGACCAACTCTGGGGTTGCGGCGCTCATCTTGCTTTATTGGCCGAGGGAGCTCGTGTACAGCTTCTGGGTCATGTGGCCAGCATGACTAAGCCGCTTCTGGCGAACCAGAGCAGCGCACGGAAATGCCATTTACCTTCCCGCCAGAGTAGACCTATTTATCTACTTGCACTAAGACGTGCTTTCGACATGCCTCATCCGCTCAATCTGCCAGATCCTGTCTTCACACTCAAGGGAAGTCCCTAACTAACCAAGGATTTGAGACCCATCATCTACTCTAACCTCACCAGGTTTAGCTGGCCAGTCGAAACAATTTCCCAGCTGTGGCTGCTTCCGCATGCTGACAGCTTCTAGGAGCCACTGGTGAGAGCTGGGTAGGGACCAAAGGTAAGGCAAACTACTCCAGAAAGAGCTTGAAATGTCCCCCACCAGAGGTACTACCCATCCCCTTTGTACATTTAATAAATGATCAGCGTAATATACAGTAGTTTAAGGCAGGTGTGGCGAACCTATGGCCCTCTGAAGGTTCCACTATCCATGGTCATTGGCTGTGCTTGCTAGGGCTGATGGGAATTGTAGTTCTCCAACATCTGCAGGACCCAAGGTTCCTTGCTCCAGGTCGAAGGCAATCAGGCTAAGAATCAGTTTGCTGAATCAAATATCCCACAGAGCCTACTTTTTACAATCCAAGAAGAGCCCAGAATGGCTTGGGTTTTCCTTGTAGGGAAAGCACACCAGTCTCCCGATCTTAGCCCATTTCATCTTTACGATTCCCATTTTTGAGATGGGGTGAGTGGACTTGGACTTCACACTGGATCAATGGCTGTGCCAACTTGACTGCTGACCTAACAGCATGCAAGATTGTATTTATAGAAACCCAAAACCTGTTAACTGCGTCTGAGGCCTCGTGCAGCACAAACAAGGACTGCAAGGGAACCAAATATTTTGATTAGAAGAAAAATATTGCTCTAAACTCAAAAGACAGTTCAGGCCATACCTGGCATGTTACTAAACATACACACACAAAAGGATTAAGTTCTATTTTATTGGAAAAGGAGACTCTGGAGCAAAGTGGATGTCTTGCTCTCATTTTACCAACAGTGAAAGCCACACTGAAATTTAGAAACATATGTGCCCAAAATGTTCAGGTTCAGTGAGCAGTTTGTGTA